GAACGCATTTGTTGAACAGCCAGGTCGATAACATCTTTTACCGGTACATTCTTTTTAGCAATACATCCTACCTGGAGTGCTTTCCTGATATTTCGTTTGATATTATCGCGGTAACCGGCATAAAGCTGGTCGTAGGGCTTTTTAAGATCGAGTACATAGTTTACCCGTAGCAGCCCTTGTTTCGATGTAATGTTAAACAGATTACCCGTGTTCATTGAAATTTCAACCAGCCTGAACTTTTTGGGTATCGCTTCGATGAATGATGTGATAGTGTCTGGCGTGATATTCTTCCCAAAAATACCTCCTTGTGCCACAAGGAAAGGCTGGTACAGGTAATGAATGCCATATTTTTTATTCCACGTAAGCGGCATTACAACTGCATAGTCACCCATGACCAATGCATCCCAGTGGGCAGCCATGTGATCGAGGTAAAAACTGGAGACGTAAACCAGCCCGTTGGATGCTTCATTGATACAGCGATCCCATTTTTGCAGGTCGATAGAATCATGTTGCACGAATCGTATGTCGTCACTCGCTGCCATATCAGAAGCCCAGGCCTTTGGTGAATCGTTTGCTGTTAAACTTTGAAATGTCTATGCTAAAAGAGATCTTTTTAAAGAAAGGGCTTTTGCCATTGGCAAAAAAGTCAGCTTTATAATAATCTTTGAAAGGGGCACTATATAACAGTGGAATATAGATATTGATAATATCCCGGCATAGCGATAACTGCAGACCTGCGTCATAAAGAAATCGGTCACCAGTTGCGCCTTTTTCCCAGGGGCCCGCATAGGTGCCTACATCAAAAAATGCACGCAATGGAATCCGGAAGGGCAGTATGCTCAATGGGTTTATATTATTGGGAATATCAAAGGTAGCGTTGGCAGCCGCCAGCCAGTCGTCTGACTGACCAATATTCCCCTGGCCATCCGTGTTTACCTTCAAGCCACCATCACGTATCATGATCTGTTGATAAGGTATTGTCCATTTAATTCCCTCAGAGCGAAAAGGGTAGTCATTTCTTCCAATAAAATAATCACTGTAAGTGTAATCAAGATTACCTTTTGGCGCCGAGAGATTAAGGCCATACAGGTAAGGGTCTGCTTTTTTCCGGTTAGTGTAAATGAACTTACCTGCAAAAAAGCGTACATCAACACCTCCCTTATTTTTGGAGTAATTGAAAAAATAATTGCCAGTAAATGCGAGCCGCACAAAGCCACTTCCCTGTTCAGCTTTGAATTCAGCACGATAAGGATAAAGCGCCCGGTAATTTTCAATAACCACCAGCAGTTGATTAAGTGTCCGTCGTTTTTCAATCGTGTAAGGATTGTCACGCACTATGGTGTCTGTTGGGCTGAATATGCTATC